AGTGCCTTAGTAAAGTGTGTGAGCCAGGAAGAGGTGAGGAAGCTAGAGTTTAAAATCCATCTGAATTCAGTGTGAGGAGGCCATTCCAATACTAACATAGTATCTCATGCCCGTGAGCGCCGGAGAGCCTGACATGTCCATCAAATACCTTCCCTATCAGCACCTTGTTGAGCAGCTTTTGTAATAATAAGCACAGCATCATCGGGGCTATCGGTGGTCCAGAAAGCGGAAAACATGACAGAGATTTGTTTCAAGGGCCACCATAGGGAGGCTGGAACTAGCTGATTAGGCTGCAGCAGCAATATGGTAAGCTGGAAAGGTGTCGACAGCAGAGGAGGTCAACAGTCTGATGTATTCAATCTCCCAAGAGCAAGCAGGTAGAATGAAGGCCTGAGCTATGCAATCCCACCCCCACTGAAACCCTTCGGGCAGCAGTCACAAGCCTGACTGCAAGGACAGCCTCTGCCTCAGAAACGGGCCCTGAGCTCCGTGCTGAGCCTACGATGATGGACGGGCCGCCGTGTCCAGGACAGCGACGCAGCCAGGCAGCGATGGGCAGCGCAGTCCTGATGTGAGCAGCAGCGAGGCACCGGAGAGCTGGCCCTTATTACGGGCATCTACACATGTGGCCCAGAGAATCTGGTCGGCAGCTGTGACTTGTCATATTTGGCAGCCCCGAAGAAGGGTGCCATTAACTACCAATCTGTACTTTTCTTTTTCTTTTTTAATATATATTCTATTGACTTTCTGTAAACATATTTTATTGATTTTTCAGAGAGAGGAAGGAAGAGGGATAGAGAGCTAGAAACATTGAAGAGAGAGAAACATCGACAAGCCACCTCCTGCACACCCCTCACCAAGGAATGGTGCCCGCAACCAATGTACACGCCCCTCACCGGAATCGAACCTGGGACCCCTCAGTCCACAGGCCAATTCTCTATCCACTGAGCCAAACAGGTTTTGGCGCAATCTGTACTTTTCTAAGTGGCAGACCAAACTACCTGATCATTAGCTCCACCCAAAGGGTCAGTAAACAGTAAATATACAAGGATATATATATATATATATATATATATATATATATATATATATATATATATATATTTTTAGAGAGGACAGGAAGAGGGGGGGAGAGAGAGAGAGAGAGAGAGAGAGAGAGAGAGAGAGAGAGATCAATGATGAGAGAGAATCATTGATCAGCTGCCTCCTTCACACCCCACACCCTGGGGGGGTCGATCCCACAACACAGGCATGTACCCTGACCGAGAATCAAACCGTGACCTCCTGGTTCATAGGTCGACACTCAACCACTGAGCCATGCCAGCCAGGCAAATATACAAGTTTCATCAAGAGGAGTATTGGCCATTGAGTCTCTCCCCTCTACAGAGTGCCCCCAGCACCCCCAGGCAGGTGTGTTTCGGGCCTCACCCTTAAGCACCTTTCTCCTTAATGAAAGCGAGGTCAGCGGAGAAGAGGAGCGAGAAGGGAGCACAAAGGGAGAGAGCTCTGAGCCAATAAGCAAGGCTTTGCGTTCACTGTTGGTGGCCACCCGGATGAGCGTGTTTTCAGACCACGAAAGTCTGTATTGAATAACTTGCCCCTCACTGCAGACACCATCCGTTTCCGCTTTGGGGATTCTCTGGCTCTGCAGCCAGGCACACTGTCTTCAGGTTGTCCCATTATAGTAAGGTTCCTGCTTCTACCTGCCCCGAGAAGTGATCCCCTATGGCACCATGTAGGCAGCCTGTTTCCATCCTGCCTTTCATTGTTCAGCCTCTAATCTTTAACAAGCAGGATACCGGCATCGCCCTTATTACCCTAATCAACCTAATACTTGGGCAAGAGCATTCATTACTGGGTGCCAGGGAGTTGTCTCATCTCTCACCGGCCTGTGGGCCACATCGCCCGGCAGACCATGTCTCTGTCAGCATGCCATCCTTACCACCAAAACTGGAAGGAACTGGGAAGGGCCTGAGACTTTACCCTTCTTCAGACGAACAAGTTCATCTGGCTCAGCTTTGGGGGCGCTGGCAGAAGACATGAGATTCCAGGGTCAGAAACAAAGGACTTTATCACTCAAGGCAACAGCCAGTCTCATTTTCTTGTTCTGGTCCTCAGCCCCACTTCCCACAAGATAATGCAAAGAGCCGAGCGATACCAGCACACACGGAAGGCTGCGGTACATGAGAGGAGCCCTGCACACAGGGAACCCAAATTTTTCCTAGTCCTGTGCTCCAGAGGAGGACATTCTGTTTTGCAAGGCTCTGAGCAAACCTGCCGTTTTTCCTGGGAAGGGACACTATCTCTTCTCTATATTCTCCACCGTACAAACATCAATGAAAGTATTCCAGAGCAAATACTTGCAAGACACACAGAAACATAAGACACCCATGGAGAATTAATAAACACCTTATACACAGAAAAGGTGGAATGACTTCCCCTTTTGTTATTTGCTAACAAATAGACATTTGAATCAGTTGGTGAGAATACACTTCCCTGATTTATTCATTACTTTGTTTTTACATAGTCATTATTTTGCTTTAGATATTAATAGTATGAATACAACTCAGACATAACCATATCCAACTACTTTTAACTACTTCAAAACTAAATAATTACCTCTCTCTCTCTTCCCTCACCACCCCTACCTAATAGTGATGATATAGATTGACACTTCTAAATATTACAAATTTATACATTACTCATTACCTCCAGACTAGAAAATACTTCCCAAGTCCTTAAAATTTAGGGCCAAAAATACTTATATTTTTTTGACCAGCCAGTGTCGCTCAGTGGTTGAGCATTGACCTATGAATCAGGAGGTCACGGTTCGATTCCCAGTCCCAGTGTGGAGCATGCAGGAGGCAGCCAATCAATGATTCTCTCTCATCATTATTGTTTCTGTCTCTCTATCTCCCTCTCCCTTCCTCTCTGAAATCAATTTTAAATTTTTTTTTTTTTAATTTGGGCCAATACTTACATTTTTAAAAAATGGTAAAATTTGCTGAAGCAGGTTTGGCTCAGTGGTAGAGCGTCGGTCTGCGGACTGAAGGGTCCCAGGTTCGATTCCGGTCAAGGGCATGTACCTTGGTTATGGGCACATCCCCAGTGGGGGGTGTGCAGGAGGCAGCTGGTCAATGTTTCTCTCATCGACGTTTCTGGCTCGCTATCTCTCTTCCTCTCTCTGTTAAAAATCAATAAATATATTGATTAAATATATTTAAATATATTTTTTTAAATTAAAATTAAAATAAATAAAATAAAATTAAAATAAAGCCAAAACCGGTTTGGCTCAATGGATAGAGCGTTGGCCTGTGGACTGAAAGGTCCCGGGTTCAATTCCGGTCAAGGGCATGTACCTTGGTTGCAGGCACATCCCCAGTAGGGGGTGTGCAAGAGGCAGCTGATGGATGATTCTCTCCCATCGATCGTTCTAACTCTATCCCTCTCTCTTCCTCTCTGTAAAAAAATCAATAAAATATATATAAAAAAATAAAATAAAATAAAAAATAAAAAATGGTAAAATTTATTCTGGAAAGCATATTAAAATATATGTCTAGCCCTGGCTGGCATTGCTCAGTGGTTAGAGCGTCAGCTGGAGCACTTAAGAGTCTTGGATTCGATTCCTGGTGAAGGGCATGTAGCTGGGTTGCAGGTTTGATCCTGGCCCTGGTACAGGCGTGTGTGTGGGAGGCAACTGACTGATGTGTCTCACTTGCATTGATGTTTCTCTCTCTTTCTCTTCCCCATTCCCCACTCCCTTCCACTCTCTGAAAAATCAATGGAAAAAATATATGCAGGTGAGGATTAACAAATAATAATAATATATCTAATTTTTTAAATTAGCAACACTTTCATGTTGAGAAACATATTAAAATACTTATTGCTTATATGTCCACAGTAATCAATTCAGAATATACTAAATACTAGATCAATATTTAACCACAGAGAAAAAAACACATTGCCACCGCAGCTGATTTTTCTCTTTGCATTTAATGAGTTTACATCAAAAAATTAATAATTTTACATTTAAGGAATAAAAGTTTTTTTTTAAATAATACAAATAGTGAAAGAAAGGATTTTAACCAAGTTTACCTTTCTTTTTGATATAGCTTTTAACAATTCATCTCATCACATTTTATTGCAATGTTCAAATGCACTTGCAGCACCCATTACAATCAGAAATTAAACTTAAGGAAGTACATGTAAGTAATGACTCTCAGGGAAAACGAATTTACTGTCCATTAAAAATTCCACGGTATATAAGCATTACACAATAATGCTACTGAACCGCCTGTTGTCACAGAAATCACCACCACAGTTTTCTGGAAATGAGTCCGCATAAGAATTAACGTTTAAAAGGTGAAATGTTCCTTACGCTTAACTTTAGCAAGATCTTATTTTTTCACTGTTAAGAAACATTTTAATCTAAAGCAGAAGCTGTTAGAGTCTAGAGAGCTAAAACTATACTCCTGAGTTCAAACTTACAGGTAAGTCTTTTTGTAAAGAGTTCTCAATAAAATATCCTCCCTCCCCACCCCTGCCCCAGTTCTTACAAAACTTTGGTCAAGAGTAGAAATATATCCAGGCAGATGTATATGCCATCCAATAGCAAGAACTGTAAAGCCCAACTAATGATTTTGGGTTTTAGAAATAGAAGGCAATTTAAAATGTACTCAAAGTTACATTAAGAAAAGCTTTCACAGGGTAATATTTAAAGTCACAAAGGTTAAGAAAATACTGATATCAAATTACAAATAACTACAATGTTAAAATAGACAAAAACTACTATACAAGAGCCTCTTTTAAAATTAAAAATAAAGAACACAACACATGAGTCAGGATTATGTTCCTGTTCTACTCATGAATTTTAGTCTTTATATTCAGAAGGTTGGTCACGCTGACATCGAGTCCATTTTCTTCTGACATCTGATGAAGTCTCATTCCATCTTCAGAGGCTGGCTCTTCCCTAGGGATCCTCGCTTGCGGTCCCCTCCGGGTCACTGTACAATTTCAAAGTAGTGCAATATGGCCATGATGTGCTGGGGCATGAAGACGTATCCTGTGTACAGCGCCATCCCCACGACGGAGACCAGCATGGAATCTGAGTCGTAGTTAAGAAAACTTACTGTTTTTCTCAAGTTATTCAAAACTAAATCCCAACATTTTTTTTTCAACAAATGTTTTATGTGGAAATAGCCATTCAATTGGTGTTTTCTCATATATATCAAGTATTTAGCCGAAACCGGTTTGGCTCAGGGGTAGAGGGTCGGTCTGCGGACTGAAAGGTCCCAGGTTCGATTCCGGTCAGGGCATGTACACTGGCTATGGGCACATCCCTGGTAGGGGGTGTGCAAGAGGCAGCTGGTCGATGTTTCTCTCTCATCGACATTTCTAGCTCTCTATCTCTCTTTCCTTCTCTCTGTAAAAAATCAATAAAATATATTTTTTTTAAAAGTATTTATAAAGAACTAGTAACTGTAGCCACTAATGTTTACTACATTTTTAAAGCTCATTTTAGCTTCACCATCACCTTACAAGGTAATTACTATTATTCTCCCTTTTATACTCCAAAGCATCAGGTTGCTTCAAGTTAATCCTAGAAACTAGAGCTGTTTAACCAAAAAGACAAAAATATATAAAAATAAAATTGTAGATATAATAATTAAAACAACAAGAGAGAGAATCCAAGATGGCTGCACAGGTAAACACCTAGCCGCAGCCGCACACAACAATTTCAATAAGATACAACTAAAATATAAAATGGACATTACCCAGAACTACAGGAAAGTCGACTGACTAGAAATTCTACAATGAGAAGCAAGGAGAAAACCAGAAGGAAGCGCGGAGGAGCTGTAAAAGCCTAAGGTACAGAAACACAAGGCGCGCAGAGAGGATGGAGCCGGAGAGGAGGGGGCAGCTAGTGCCTGGCTGGCGTTCCCAAGCGGGAAGGAGATAAAAGCTCCGACTGTGCTGGGCCCCAGTTCCGACTGCTCTGAACCCCAGTTCTAGGCCAGACTCCAGGGACCCAGGCTCACACAGAGGGAGCTGGGCTGTAAGGCGGAACCCGGGGAAACGGCGAAAGAAGGTCCCAGAAGCGCGCACATTGTACGCAAAGAAGGGACGGTTGGCTGTGCCGCAGGATTGCCTGGCGGGAAGGAGACTGGGGCTCCAGACTGCTCTGAACGCCACCTCCAACTCCACTTCCAACTGAACTGAACCCCAATACCGGGCTCATTGGGGGAGAGCATAGACTGTTTGGTAGCAGGCGAAAATCAAGGGAACCTTTCTCTCAGAGGCGCTTGCAAGGAGTATTGAAGGACCCCTAAACGCAGGAGCCGCATAGGGCGGGGCTGAGGGAAGCCAAAGCTGTAGGCTCCACCCTGAAACCTCGCCCCATCAAGAAAACTGCAAAAATGTCGAGACGAAATAGATCACAAACGAAAGAAATGGAGGACAAAAAGCAAATGGATATAGAGTTCAAATCTATGCTTATAAGGTTTTTCAAGAATTTCCTAGAAAAGATGGATAAGACCTATGAGGATATGAAAAGATATCAACTAGAATTAATAAGGAATCAACAAGAAATGATAAGGGGTCAACAAGAAATAAAGAATATATTGTCTGAAATAAAAAATATTATACAGAGTCCTAAAAACCGAATGGAAGATCACAAGAATCAAGTCAAAGATTTGGAACATAAAGAGCCAGAAGACACTCCTCCACAGAAGAAAGAAGGCAAGAGAATCCAGAAAATTGAAGATAATGTAAGAAACCTCTGGGACAACTTCAAGCGAACCAACATCAGAATTATGGGGGTCCCAGAAGATGAGAGAGAGCAAGATATCAAAAACATACTGAAAGAAATAGTGACAGAAAACTTCCCGCACCTGGTGAAAGAATTAGACTTACAAGTCCAGGAAGCACACAGAACTCCAAACAAAAGGAATCCAAAGAGGACCACACCAAGACAAATCATAATTAAAATTCCAAGAGCAAAAGACAAAGAGAGAATATTAAAAGCAGCAAGAGCAAAGCAGGTAGTTACCTATACGATTGTCAGCTGATTTCTCAACAGAAACCATGCAGGCCAGACGGGAATGGCAAGAAATATTCAAGGTGATGAATAGCAAGAACCTACAGCAAAAAATAATGTACCCAGCAAAGCTATCACTCAGAATCGAAGGCCAGATAAAGAGCTTCACTAATAAAAAAAAAAAAGCTAAAGGAGTTCATCACCGCCAAACCAGAATTATATGAATTGCTGAAGGGGGTTCTTTCAGAAGAGAAAGTAAATAAAGATAAAAATTATGAACAACAAATACGTAACTATCAACAAGTGAATCTAAAAACCAAGGAAGCTGAAACCGGTTTGGCTCAATGGATAGAGCGTCGGTCTGCGGACTGAAAGGTCCTGGGTTCAATTCCGGTCAAGGGCATGTACTTTGGTTGCGGGCACATCCCCAGTAGGGGGTGTGCAAGAGGCAGCTGATCGATGATTCTGTCTCATCGATGTTTCTAACTCTCTATCCCTCTCTTCCTCTCTGTAAAAAATCAATAAAATATATTTTAAAAATAAAATAAAATAAAAAATAAAAACCAAGGAAATTAAAAAAAAATCTGATGAACAATATTAACTGTTGAATATAATAGAATCAGAGTATGGAAGGGGAGTGAACTGACAATTCTTGGGGGAAAGGGGAGAGGAGGATGTGGGAAGAGACTGAACATAAACTGTGCACCTATGGATGAGGACAATGGGGGGTGGGGAAAGGGCAGAGGGTGGGGTGGGAACCTGGTGGAGGAGAGCAATGGAGTGGGGGGGGACGACGAAGGAACATTTGTAATAATATGAACAATAAAAATTTATTTTTTTTAAAAAAAAATTTTAAATAAAAATAAAATTGTATTTAATCACTGTACAAGGTCTACCAACTTGAATAAGTAATTAGTAATGTATGATCCAAGACTTTTAGATTGAAAATGTGGCTAAAAGCATTGGCTTTGGAGCCAATGCTAAAATCAATCATACACCAGTGACATAAGTTGACAGCACCTGCTACTATTAAATATTTAGTATTATCACTAAACTTTGCAACATCAAATAAAAGTCATCTTGATAACCTAACCAATATATGTTCTCTACAGTGTTCCTTCCTCCTCATTCCAAAGGGAAGTGAAACTATACAGATGCAAATCAACAAAGTTTCTGACAAAATATTGAAGCAGTGAATAAAGAGCTTTCCTCCCCCCCTCCTCCCCCCCGCCCCCCCCCCTCGCACAGTCACATGGCCATGATAAGGGGAATAACAGCTTCTGAACTGGGGCCATGTTTTATCCATCCATCCATCCATTCATATTCTCTCCCTCCCCATCTCCGTTCCATTGCATACCTTTCAGCTCTGCCTACTAGTGGTTCTATAATACTTTACATTCTTTTATGAGAAGATATGGCTTATATAAACAATATGCTTACTGCCAACTAATATCTGTATAATAGTTTAGATGACAAACCTCTTTCACACATTTCCTTTCCGAGTTCCTGTGAAGTACTTAGAGGCTGACAAAACAGAGTGACTTGTCTGGGGCCACAAAGAAGCTGTCTTTAGAGCAGAGACCAAACGAGCTATTTAAACCAAATTCTTTTTTTTTTTTTAATATATTTTATTGATTTTTACAGAGAGGAAGGAAGAGAGATAAAGAGCTAGAAACGTCGATGAGAGAGAAACACGGACCAGCTGCCTCTTGCACACCCCCCACCAGGGATGTGCCCGCAACCAACATATTATACATGCCCCTGACCGGAATCGAACCTGGGACCTTTCAGTCCGCAGGCCGATGCTCTACCACTGAGCCACACCGGTTTCGGCTAAACCAAATTCTAAAAGCATTTCCCTCATCCAGCAAACATGGGTAAAAAGCCCCCAGAACCACCTCTTTAAGTTTCCTTTTTAGCCTCCCTTAATCAAGTTCTTTCTTAAACTACCACTTCTATTTGCCACTTAATTTCTTTTTCCTTTTTTTTTTTTTTTTTTTAAGTGCATGCATACCCGCTGCTTCGTATCACTCTCCGGTCACCAATGACCTCTTAGCAAATCCAATGGCTATCTGAATTGACTCTATTTTACTTTTCTCTCTTCAACACTCTTCCACCCTGGTCTGAGATACTCCCTAGGGCTCTCCTCCATCTCTCGCACCACTTTTCTGTCTCACTGGCTCTTTCCCTGTATGTTTTGTGCTTTTCTCTCAAACACACTCCTTTCTCCTAGTATAGCAGCCATGCTCTTTGTGTAGGCCTAACCCTGCCCCACGTCCAAGGGTAAGTCCCACTAGATCTTAATCAATTAGTAATCGCTTCTTTCTGTAATAATGCCTGCCCCCAAAACTATCAACCGGCTCAAAGCTTAGGACTTCTGCCAGGACTTCAAGAATGCAGATCCTCTCCCTCCCTCCCATCCTCGAATATGCAATTTGCTGATGAGCTCCTGGAATTACTGGTGTCACTCTGCCGCCATGAGGAAAGCAAAACTCAGAACAAAGCCGACTCGTGAAGGTGGTGGAACAAAAATAATCACAGAAAAATGGAGCCAGAACCCTAATCGAAGCCCCTGGAGCCCACCCTACCCCTGGACTTTCTGATACAGAAGTCAATAAATTCCCTTCATTCTTAACCAGTGTGAGTTAGATTTTCTTTGTTACTTGCAGCTGAGAGCATTCTAAATGATAATAATGGAGTTCCCAATGTTTTGTCTTGGGCCCCGTACACTCTTATCACTTAAACAATCGCCTTCATGTTGTTGACCTGACCGCATCTTCCATACCACAGACAAATATTTTCTACAACTTACTGAAAATTTCTATGACATTCCATAAGGTACTTTGAATTCAACGAAGCCAAAACTGAACTTATGTTCTCCAAAACTTCTTCTTCCTATGAGTCCTATTGTTTCAACTACTTGAAAATAGTTGATGTAATTATTTGATATAACTATTGATTAACTATCTCCCCAGTCATCCAATCTATAAATTACTTTTCTTTTTGTTAGGATGATTTCTATATTCAATACATAACAGAATGCTAGTGGCACAGGGCCCTGTGAAAGG